CAAATCATCCATCATCAAATCATCAACTCATGACATCGAATCATCAAATCACCCAATCATCCAATCACCCAGTCATCGAATCATCAAATCATCAAATCATCAAATCATCCAATCACCCAATCATCGAATCATCCAATCATCCAATCATCCAATCATCCGATCATCCAATCATCCAATCATCCAATCATCCAATCATCCAATCATCCAATTATCCTGTCATCCAATCACAAATCTACGTCTACTTACTTCTGTGTGTCCTTCTACTTGAAATATGGCATCTGTTGTTTCTGTGTTCAACGATTCTCTGGAGCAGTCTGATCCCACTTACTATCGGCTTATAAGCCCAATGTTTTCATGAGTGAAGTGTTGGAATGGCTGGTTAACAGGCGTTTTTCTATTATTTGGAGGACCACAATCGTCGAGGTGATGTTCAGTATGTCTTCTAGCCTTAACTTACAGGGCACGTTTTGCACCCTAATCTTTTCCAGGTATATGAAAATGAAATTGAGGAAGTTGCAAAGACCACCTTTTAGGAAGAAAATGCACTTCGTCTCGAATAACTGCAGGAATGTCCATCAGAAAGTGCTCTTCACACAACTTGATCTCCATCCTTCAACAAGTATCTACGTTCAGCAACTCCAAACTCATCAGGACTAAATTAAGATTCACTCACTGAGCTGTCTCCGATCCAAGGAGTTTAATCAGACAGTTAGCAGGATTTGACCACTCCAGATTCTCAATCTACATCAGATTAATCGGTCAGTTAATATAACCCAAGAAGATTGGGGAGTCACAACCCAGGCCCAACAGACTCGACAAACACCATTAGCAAAATCAGCTAAGCCCTCAGGATTCGGCAGTTTCAAACCATTTGCAGCTGTCTCCGAACCAATCACTTACAACATATACTAGCTGCGTGTTTTGAACACTTACTTTCTCCGTCATCTCCATCAGTAAATAAGAGAACACCTTAGAACTACCTCAAGAAGATGAAAATGGGCAGAACTTTCTTCGTTCATCTAGGCCCAAAAGACTCCACAATCTAGCTGATCGCCTTAGATATGAAATACTCGGGCAGACTAAACAACAACGGGTCACTATTAAAGTTTCTGTCTTCAGATGAGTACAGGAGGAAGGTGCAGGCTGCATGCGAGAAAGATACATAAACAAATGGAAATGACAGGGCCGGAGTAAGACGAAGAGCTGGCCTCATACTACTGTTGCGATACTTATTTGATATAAATATGGTGTGGAAAGGACGGCTGTAAGGGGAGAAGGGAGGCCGTTTGTTTTATTCTTATTGTGTTTTTTTTTAAAGATAACTACGAACGACAGGAACTCCTTTACTCGAATCCTGTTGTTTACCAACATATAAACTATACCTATTTTCAAAGTAATCTGATTAGATATTTTCTTCTGTAACTTTTTTCTATACTTTCCTTCAACGCCCGCACCTTGAATGGCCTTCTGGTCTTGTGAAGGGCGTTTTCCATCAAAAGTCTAATTAGTCAAACAAGTCATTCAATCATCCAGTCATCAAATCATCCAATCATCCCATCATCGAGTCATGCAATCATCTTATCATCCAGTCATCCAATCATCCAATCATCGAGTCATCCAATCATCAAATCATCAAATCATCAACTCATGACATCGAATCATCAAATCACCCAATCATCCAATCATCCAATCATCCAATCATCCAATCATCCAATCATCCAATCATCCAATCATCCAATCATCCAATCATCCAATCATCCAATTATCCTGTCATCCAAATCACAAATCTACGTCTACTTACTTCTGTGTGTCCTTCTACTTGAAATATGGCATCTGTTGGTTCAACGATTCTCTGGAGCAGTCTGATCCCACTTACTATCGGCTTATAAGCCCAATGTTTTCATGAATGAAGTGTTGGAATGGCTGGTTAACAGGCTTTTTTTATTATTTGGAGGACCACAATCGTCGAGGTGATGTGCAGTATGTCTTCTAGCATCAACTTACAGGGCACGTTTTGCACCCTCATCTTTTCCAGGCATATGAAAATGAAATTGAGGAAGTTGGAAAGACCACCTTTTAGAAAGAAAATGCACTAAGTCTCGAATAACTGCAGGAATGTCCTTCAGAAAGTGCACTTCACACAACTTGATCTCCATCCTTCAACAAGTATCTACGTTCAGCAACACCAAACTCATCAGGACTAAATTAAGATTCACTCACTGAGATGTCTCCGATCTAAGGAGTTTAATCAGACAGTTAGCAGGATATTGACCACTCCAGATTCTCAATCTACATCAGATTAATCGGTCAGTTAATATAACCCAAGAAAATTGAGGAGTCACAACCAAGGCCCAACAGACTCGACAAACACCATCCGCAGAATCAGTTAAGCCCTCAGGATTCGGCAGTTTCAAACCATTTGCAGCTGTCTCCGAACCAATCAGTTACAACATATAGTAGCTGCGTGTTTTGAACACTTACTTTCTCCGTCATCTCCATCAGTAAATAAGAGAACGCCTGAGAACTGCCTCAAGAAGATGAAAAGGGGCACAACTTTCTCCGTTCATCTAAGCCCAAAAGACTCCACAATCTAGCTGATCGCCTTAGATATGAAATACTCAGGCAGACTAAACAACAACGGGTCACTATTAAAGTTTCTGTCTTCAGATGAGTACAGGAGGAAGGTGAAGGCTGCATGCGAGAAAGATACATAAACAAATGGAAATGACAGGGCCGGAGTAAGACGAAGAGCTGGCCTCATACTACTGTTGCGATACTTATTTGATATAAATATGGTGTGGAAAGGACGGCTGTAAGGGGAGAAGGGAGGCCGTTTGTTTTATTCTTATTGTTTTTTTAAAGATAATTACGAACGACAGGAACTCCTTTAATCGAATCCTGTTGTTTACCAACATATAAACTATACCTGTTTTCAAAGTAATCTGATTAGATATTTTCTTCTGTAACTTTTTTCTATACTTTCCTTCAACGCCCGCACCTTGAATGGCCTTCTGGTCTTGTGAAGGGCGTTTCCCATCAAAAGTCTAATTAGTCAAACCAGTCATTCAATCATCCAGTCATCAAATCATCCAATCATCCCATCATCGAGTCATGCAATCATCTTATCATCCAGTCATCCAATCATCCAATCATCGAGTCATCCAATCATCCAATCATCCATCATCAAATCATCAACTCATGACATCGAATCATCAAATCACCCAATCATCCAATCACCCAGTCATCGAATCATCAAATCATCAAATCATCAAATCATCCAATCATCCAATCATCCAATCATCCAATCATCCAATCATCCAATCATCCAATCATCCAATCATCCAATCATCCAATTATCCTGTCATCCAATCACAAATCTACGTCTACTCACTTCTGTGTGTCCTTCTACTTGAAATATGGCATCTGTTGTTTCTGTGTTCAACGATTCTCTGGAGCAGTCTGATCCCACTTACTATCGGCTTATAAGCCCAATGTTTTCATGAATGAAGTGTTGGAATGGCTGGTTAACAGGCGTTTTCTTATTATTTGGAGGACCACAATCGTCGAGGTGATGTGCAGTATGTCTTCTAGCATCAACTTACAGGGCACGTTTTGCACCCTCATCTTTTCCTGGCATATGAAAATGAAATTGAGGAAGTTGGAAAGACCACCTTTTAGAAAGAAAATGCACTAAGTCTCGAATAACTGCAGGAATGTCCTTCAGAAAGTGCACTTCACACAACTTGATCTCCATCCTTCAACAAGTATCTACGTTCAGCAACACCAAACTCATCAGGACTAAATTAAGATTCACTCACTGAGCTGTCTCCGATCTAAAGAGTTTAATCAGACAGTTAGCAGGATATTGACCACTCCAGATTCTCAATCTACATCAGATTAATCGGTCAGTTAATATAACCCAAGAAGATTGAGGAGTCACAACCAAGGCCCAACAGACTCGACAAACACCATCCGCAAAATCAGTTAAGCCCTCAGGATTCGGCAGTTTCAAACCATTTGCAGCTGTCTCCGAACCAATCAGTTACAACATATACTAGCTGCGTGTTTTGAACACTTACTTTCTCCGTCATCTCCATCAGTAAATAAGAGAACGCCTGAGAACTGCCTCAAGAAGATGAAAATGGGCAGAACTTTCTCCGTTCATCTAAGCCCAAAAGACTCCACAATCTAGCTGATCGCCTTAGATATGAAATACTCAGGCAGACTAAACAAAAACGGGTCACTATTAAAGTTTCTGTCTTCAGATGAGTACAGGAGGAAGGTGAAGGCTGCATGCGAGAAAGATACATAAACAAATGGAAATGACAGGGCCGGAGTAAGACGAAGAGCTGGCCTCATACTACTGTTGCGATACTTATTTGATATAAATATGGTGTGGAAAGGACGGCTGTAAGGGGAGAAGGGAGGCCGTTTGTTTTATTCTTATTGTTTTTTTAAAGATAATTACGAACGACAGGAACTCCTTTAATCGAATCCTGTTGTTTACCAACATATAAACTATACCTGTTTTCAAAGTAATCTGATTAGATATTTTCTTCTGTAACTTTTTTCTATACTTTCCTTCAACGCCCGCACCTTGAATGGCCTTCTGGTCTTGTGAAGGGCGTTTCCCATCAAAAGTCTAATTAGTCAAACCAGTCATTCAATCATCCAGTCATCAAATCATCCAATCATCCCATCATCGAGTCATGCAATCATCTTATCATCCAGTCATCCAATCATCCAATCATCGAATCATCCAATCACCCAATCATCCAATCACCCAGTCATCGAATCATCCAATCATCCAATCATCCAATCATCCAATCATCCAATCATCCTGTCATCCAATCACAAATCTACGTCTACTTTCTTCTGTGTGTCCTTCTACTTGAAATATGGCATCTGTTGTTTCTGTGTTCAACGATTCTCTGGAGCAGTCTGATCCCACTTACTATCGGCTTATAAGCCCAATGTTTTCTTTCCTTCAACGCCCGCACCTTGAATGGCCTTCTGGTCTTGTGAAGGGCGTTTTCCATCAAAAGTCTAATTAGTCAAACCAGTCATTCAATCATCCAGTCATCAAATCATCCAATCATCCCGTCATCGAGTCATGCAATCATCTTATCATCCATTCATCCAATCATCCAATCATCGAGTCATCCAATCATCCAATCATCCATCATCAAATCATCAACTCATGACATCGAATCATCAAATCACCCAATCATCCAATCACCCAGTCATCGAATCATCAAATCATCAAATCATCAAATCATCCAATCATCCAATCATCCAATCATCCAATCATCCAATCATCCAATCATCCAATCATCCAATCATCCAATTATCCTGTCATCCAATCACAAATCTACGTCTACTTACTTCTGTGTGTCCTTCTACTTGAAATATGGCATCTGTTGTTTCTGTGTTCAACGATTCTCTGGAGCAGTCTGATCCCACTTACTATCGGCTTATAAGCCCAATGTTTTCATGAATGAAGTGTTGGAATGGCTGGTTAACAGGCGTTTTCTTATTATTTGGAGGACCACAATCGTCGAGGTGATGTGCAGTATGTCTTCTAGCATCAACTTACAGGGCACGTTTTGCACCCTCATCTTTTCCTGGCATATGAAAATGAAATTGAGGAAGTTGGAAAGACCACCTTTTAGAAAGAAAATGCACTAAGTCTCGAATAACTGCAGGAATGTCCTTCAGAAAGTGCACTTCACACAACTTGATCTCCATCCTTCAACAAGTATCTACGTTCAGCAACACCAAACTCATCAGGACTAAATTAAGATTCACTCACTGAGCTGTCTCCGATCTAAAGAGTTTAATCAGACAGTTAGCAGGATATTGACCACTCCAGATTCTCAATCTACATCAGATTAATCGGTCAGTTAATATAACCCAAGAAGATTGAGGAGTCACAACCAAGGCCCAACAGACTCGACAAACACCATCCGCAAAATCAGTTAAGCCCTCAGGATTCGGCAGTTTCAAACCATTTGCAGCTGTCTCCGAACCAATCAGTTACAACATATACTAGCTGCGTGTTTTGAACACTTACTTTCTCCGTCATCTCCATCAGTAAATAAGAGAACGCCTGAGAACTGCCTCAAGAAGATGAAAATGGGCAAAACTTTCTCCGTTCATCTAAGCCCAAAAGACTCCACAATCTAGCTGATCGCCTTAGATATGAAATACTCAGGCAGACTAAACAAAAACGGGTCACTATTAAAGTTTCTGTCTTCAGATGAGTACAGGAGGAAGGTGAAGGCTGCATGCGAGAAAGATACATAAACAAATGGAAATGACAGGGCCGGAGTAAGACGAAGAGCTGGCCTCATACTATTGTTGCGATACTTATTTGATATAAATATGGTGTGGAAAGGACGGCTGTAAGGGGAGAAGGGAGGCCGTTTGTTTTATTCTTATTGTTTTTTTAAAGATAATTACGAACGACAGGAACTCCTTTAATCGAATCCTGTTGTTTACCAACATATAAACTATACCTGTTTTCAAAGTAATCTGATTAGATATTTTCTTCTGTAACTTTTTTCTATACTTTCCTTCAACGCCCGCACCTTGAATGGCCTTCTGGTCTTGTGAAGGGCGTTTCCCATCAAAAGTCTAATTAGTCAAACCAGTCATTCAATCATCCAGTCATCAAATCATCCAATCATCCCATCATCGAGTCATGCAATCATCTTATCATCCAGTCATCCAATCATCCAATCATCGAGTCATCCAATCATCAAATCATCCATCATCAAATCATCAACTCATGACATCGAATCATCAAATCACCCAATCATCCAATCACCCAGTCATCGAATCATCGAATCATCCAATCATCCAATCATCCAATCATCCAATCATCCAATCATCCTGTCATCCAATCACAAATCTACGTCTACTTTCTTCTGTGTGTCCTTCTACTTGAAATATGGCATCTGTTGTTTCTGTGTTCAACGATTCTCTGGAGCAGTCTGATCCCACTTACTATCGGCTTATAAGCCCAATGTTTTCTTTCCTTCAACGCCCGCACCTTGAATGGCCTTCTGGTCTTGTGAAGGGCGTTTCCCATCAAAAGTCTAATTAGTCAAACCAGTCATTCAATCATCCAGTCATCAAATCATCCAATCATCCCATCATCGAGTCATGCAATCATCTTATCATCCAGTCATCCAATCATCCAATCATCGAGTCATCCAATCATCAAATCATCCATCATCAAATCATCAACTCATGACATCGAATCATCAAATCACCCAATCATCCAATCACCCAGTCATCGAATCATCGAATCATCCAATCATCCAATCATCCAATCATCCAATCATCCAATCATCCTGTCATCCAATCACAAATCTACGTCTACTTACTTCTGTGTGTCCTTCTACTTGAAATATGGCATCTGTTGTTTCTGTGTTCAACGATTCTCTGGAGCAGTCTGATCCCACTTACTATCGGCTTATAAGCCCAATGTTTTCATGAGTGAAGTGTTGGAATGGCTGGTTAACAGGCGTTTTTCTATTATTTGGAGGACCACAATCGTCGAGGTGATGTGCAGTATGTCTTCTAGCATCAACTTACTACAGGGCACGTTTTGCACCCTCATCTTTTCCAGACATATGAAAATGAAATTGAGGAAGTTGGAAAGACCACCTTTTAGAAAGAAAATGCACTAAGTCTCGAATAACTGCAGGAATGTCCATCAGAAAGTGCACTTCAAACAACTTGATCTCCATCCTTCAACAAGTATCTACGTTCAGCAACTCCAAACTCATCAGGACTAAATTAAGATTCACTCACTGAGCTGTCTCCGATCCAAAGAGTTTAATCAGACAGTTAGCAGGATATTGACCACTCCAGATTCTCAATCTACATCAGATTAATCGGTCAGTTAATATAACCCAAGAAGATTGAGGAGTCACAACCAAGGCCCAACAGACTCGACAAACACCATCAGCAAAATCAGCTAAGCCCTCAGGATTCGGCAGTTTCAAACCATTTGCAGCTGTCTCCGAACCAATCAGTTACAACATATACTAGCTGCGTGTTTTGAACACTTACTTTCTCCGTCATCTCCATCAGTAAATAAGAGAACACCTTAGAACTGCCTCAAGAAGATGAAAATGGGCAGAACTTTCTCCGTTCATCTAGGCCCAAAAGACTCCACAATCTAGCTGATCGCCTTAAATATGAAATACTCAGGCAGACTAAACAACAACGGGTCACTATTAAAGTTCCTGTCTTCAGATGAGTACAGGAGGAAGGTGAAGGCTGCATGCGAGAAAGATACATAAACAAATGGAAATGACAGGGCCGGAGTAAGACGAAGAGCTGGCCTCATACTACTGTTGCGATACTTATTTGATATAAATATGGTGTGGAAAGGACGGCTGTAAGGGGAGAAGGGAGGCCGTTTGTTTTATTCTTATTGTTTTTTTTAAAGATTGATAATTACGAACGACAGGAACTCCTTTACTCGAATCCTGTTGTTTACCAACATATAAACTATACCTGTTTTCAAAGTAATCTGATTAGATATTTCCTTCTGTAACTTTTTTCTATACTTTCCTTCAACGCCCGCACCTTGAATAGCCTTCTGGTCTTGTGAAGGGCGTTTTCCATCAAAAGTCTAATTAGTCAAACCAGTCATTCAATCATCCAGTCATCAAATCATCCAATCATCCCATCATCGAGTCATGCAATCATCTTATCATCCAGTCATCCAATCATCCAATCATCGAGTCATCCAATCATCCAATCATCCATCATCAAATCATCAACTCATGACATCGAATCATCAAATCACCCAATCATCCAATCACCCAGTCATCGAATCATCAAATCATCAAATCATCCAATCATCCAATCATCCAATCATCCAATCATCCAATCATCCAATCATCCAATCATCCAATCATCCAATCATCCAATCATCCAATCATCCAATCATCCAATTATCCTGTCATCCAATCACAAATCTACGCCTACTTACTTCTGTGTGTCCTTCTACTTGAAATATGGCATCTGTTGTTTCTGTGTTCAACGATTCTCTGGAGCAGTCTGATCCCACTTACTATCGGCTTATAAGCCCAATGTTTTCATGAGTGAAGTGTTGGAATGGCTGGTTAACAGGCGTTTTTTTTTATTAATTGGAGGACCACAATCGTCGAGGTGATGTGCAGTATGTCTTCTAGCATCAACTTACAGGGCACGTTTTGCACCCTCATCTTTTCCAGGCATATGAAAATGAAATTGAGGAAGTTGGAAAGACCACCTTTTAGAAAGAAAATGCACTAAGTCTCGAATAACTGCAGGAATGTCCATCAGAAAGTGCACTTCAAACAACTTGATCTCCATCCTTCAACAAGTATCTACGTTCAGCAACTCCAAACTCATCAGGACTAAATTAAGATTCACTCACTGAGCTGTCTCCGATCCAAAGAGTTTAATCAGACAGTTAGCAGGATATTGACCACTCCAGATTCTCAATCTACATCAGATTAATCGGTCAGTTAATATAACCCAAGAAGATTGAGGAGTCACAACCAAGGCCCAACAGACTCGACAAACACCATCAGCAAAATCAGCTAAGCCCTCAGGATTCGGCAGTTTTCAAACCATTTGCAGCTGTCTCCGAACCAATCAGTTACAACATATACTAGCTGCGTGTTTTGAACACTTACTTTCTCCGTCATCTCCATCAGTAAATAAGAGAACGCCTTAGAACTGCCTCAAGAAGTTGAAAATGGGCAGAACTTTCTCCGTTCATCTAGGCCCAAAAGACTCCACAATCTAGCTGATCGCCTTAAATATGAAATACTCAGGCAGACTAAACAACAACGGGTCACTATAAAAGTTTCTGTCTTCAGATGAGTACAGGAGGAAGGTGAAGGCTGCATGCGAGAAAGATACATAAACAAATGGAAATGACAGGGCCGGAGTAAGACGAAGAGCTGGCCTCATACTACTGTTGCGATACTTATTTGATATAAATATGGTGTGGAAAGGACGGCTGTAAGGGGAGAAGGGAGGCCGTTTGTTTTATTCTTATTTTTTTTTTTAAAGATTGATAAT